CAACGAAAGGAGACTGCGACCACACAAAAGGCCACACCATCTTGGCCTTCATACCTTCAAAAGAATAAAAATGCCAGTTTCAAAGACATTTGTTCCAAACACAGCCTGGACAGTTCTCCTGCCATATTTACGAGTTCCATTAAAAAAGGGAAGTCTAATCCGCACAGTCTTGCTCTTGGACTGTGCACTTGGCCATGTCTCCTTCTCGGGTTGGCCGGCTCCTAGTTTTCAGCAAAAAGGACAGACCTGCACAAGGATGGCTCAACAAACGCCTAAATCACACTCCCTAAAAATGTATTTCATGCCCTGATGTACATGTGCAAGTATTTCGACAGGCTTCTCGCAACACGGCTTCCTGAGTCCTGACAACTACCTCGGCCAGCAAGGCGCCTACATCTCGTCTAATGGAGCCTTTATTTGTCATCATACACCAAACCAACCGATGCGCAGAGGTTCTGTAGTGTGCCTCGCGCCATGCCCATCTCCGCCACATCTTTCCAGTGCCTACTTTGTTTATGCCCCGGCAGATGGGCTCTGTCGGCTCGCCAGTGCAGGTCTGCACAAACGAGCCTCTGGGGCTTTTTTAGCTGGCCCCTGTCCCTCTAATCAGCCTCAGAGGCAGTCGCCGTGACAACTTTTAGCGGACATTTGCTGGCACGTCTATTATGCCATCGCTTCCAATGCAAGCGTCTAAATGGGAGGGGGTGGTGAGCAACAGTCTATTAGGCCAAGCGTTTTATTTGTGGGAGTTTATTCCTTTGGGACTTTATTTGTTCGCAAGAGCCATTGAATAAATGTCTTGATACAACGATTTTGGCCTCTTTGAGCTATGTTATGCCCACCTGAAATGGACTGTACGAAGCCAAAAGCAGATGACTTCAAGCAGTACTGGCTAAAAAGGACTTTCGAGCCTACACATTCATTCATATTTGTTGGTCAGCTCTAGTCAATGTGCGTGAAAGTTAATCGCATTTTTCGAGATCAGAAATTAGCCATCACCAGATTGCTCGCTTCTGGAAAGCACCGGCCTCTTTCAACCTTGATCTATTTTGATAAGAAATAAGAATAAACCGAGTACTTTTCAGAAATCTAGGCTTTTTTACAGAAATTA